TTTGAAAAAAGAAAAAGAAATTATTGTTTTTTTATTATCATTATTCATCTAATTTTATAAAATATTTAAGACAGTAACATTCTCGCAAAGAAAATAAGTTTAAAAAAATTGCAGTAAATTCCATTGAATCTAAACCCTAAACTCCAATTTATCGGCCTTGCATTCGACAATGTGCTTCGCCAGAAACTCCATTTGGATTTCTATTTTCAGTTCCTTTTGATGGAAGTTTTACCTTTTCCAGCTCCTCAATGCCCTTTTTGGACTCTGGAGGATCTCAGTTGAAGAGCCCCAACATGGTGGCACCTTGGGCTGGAAAAGACATCGTCGTACGCTAATGAGCTTTCTGTAACCTTTGTTTGACGAGATTGGGCTTTCCTCCCCCACTGTTGTAATTTCACTTTTGGCTGGAAAACAAGATGTCACAAGAACGTAAGCTACAATGTTAACATTTGGATGGATATAGGACAGATGTATAGAGGACTGACAAACACAAAACTTCGTATAAAATCTAAACTCATCCGCAATTCCTTTGGCCAACTATGATTTAGATGCAAAAACACAATCTGCAATCCCTTCAAAAAATCAAACACTAGAACGAATCAAATTTAACGGAATACATGAGAGATGCTCCACATATGTTCAGTCACAATGAATGATGCATGTTGGCTCAAAGACATCATTAATCAATCTAAGAACTGTTTTTCTTATAATAAAGGTAAGGTAGATGAATTGATAAATGACTCAATGAACAGCAAGGTACATCAACGTAGAATGAAAACGAATCAATCAGTAACCAGGACGTAGAAAATTAGACATATGGCCTTACCGAAGCAGAAACAAGTAAAACGCCACAGCAGGAAGCCTATACAGCTCAGTTGTCTGACTCACAGGAAAAAAATAAATAAATAAATAAACGTTACGGTTTACTAGTCGGCACAAAAACAAGCTATGAAGAGGACCCTGCTTACCAACTCACTCATGACGATAGCTGCATCATCAACTTTAAAAAGTCGAGTACAAACGATCATGACAAAATAGCTGTGACCATGAACCATGGCAAGATAGGCCAACTGCAGAAACGTTTTTCAATGCAGTGATAGCCAAATGTGTTCGCAGATTCCTCATATCACATGGTCATATAGATGCAGCAGGTTGATTACTCATATTCCAGACATTCAGTCCTTTGACATGCATCTCAGACAAAATAAGATGGGCTTCTTGAAACCTCCCCTCTCTCTTAAGACCATCAATGAGTTGATTGCAAACGGAGGCATTTAACAAAAAATGGTTTTTGAACATTTCTTTATACCATACATGTGCCTCGCCATAATCACCAAGTTCACAAAGTCCCTTCACTAGGATATTGTAAGTGTCACCCTTAGGACTCAACCCTCTAGCCTTCATATCATCAACAAGTTTCCTTACTTCTGTAACCTTACCATCTCTCAAGCATCCTAAAATCAAGCTGTTATATGTCATCTTGTCTAGTTCGACTCTTTCATCGATCATCTTTTTGTACAAAACAAATGCCTTTTGAACATCTCCGTTCTCTATGTAGCAATAAATCATTGCATTATAAACAACTCTATCTGGAGCAAGATCCATGAGTAACATTTCGTCAAACAGTTTCTCTACCGTATCTAAACCAACCTTGCTACATCCAGATAGTAAAACATGATACGTTATTAATGTAGGATTGATGCCTTGTTTTTTCAACGTTTCATATATCTCGAGACCTTTTTGGGGGTTCCCAGAACTACAATGCCCAAGGATAAGGGAGTTGTATGTAATCACATCAGGTGTAAGACCACTGTTTGTAATTTGGTTGACTAATTCTTCTGCTTCAATCACCCTTCCTTTCTTGCAGAGTCCATTGATAAGTGAGTTGTGCGTCGAAAGGGTCGGGGTAATGTTCCTATCAATCATTTCATCAAAAATCTTGAAAGCATCTTGCATTTTCCCTAATGTGCACTTACAATCAATCAGCATATTATAAATTTGAGCATTTGGAAGAACTCCTTTACCATCCATGTCAGCAAAAATTACTTCAGCTTCAACAAATCTACCACCCTTGCAGAGACAATTGATAAGAGTTCCATAGCTTACCACATTTGCCTTTATTCCTTTGCTTTCCATTTCTTCAAGAACTTGGAAGCATCTATTAAAAAAACAACCCCGTCCATAACCATCAAGAAGGATGTTATACGTTTCGATGCTAGGGCAAACTTCCCTCGCTATCATCTTCCTCAGCCATTCCTCTGCCTTGTCCATCTCCTTCATTTCACAAAATTTATTGATCAACGAATTAAAAGTGATACAATTGGGTGTTAAGCCTTGATTTTCCATCCGTTGGATGGTTGATATAGCACCGTCGATAATTCCTTTTCGACAGTAACCATCCACTAGTACATTGAAAAGGATTTCATCCGGAACCAGTCCATCCATCATTAGTTTCATCAGAATCTCCTCTGCTTTTTCCACCTTCCCATCTTTACATAACCCATTCAACAAAATACAACAAGTATATTTATTTATTCTCACCCCTTTCTTCACTGTTTCTTCATACAGAACTATTGAGGCTTCATCATCACCAGACCTCAGATACCCATCAAAAAGTATGCTATAAGTAAATCCATCAGGTGCAAACCCATAAGTTTCCATCTCACGCAATAGCTTTTTTGCTTCCTCCATCTGCTTTGCCTGACAGAGTCCACTTAGCAAAGAATTGTATGTTACAAGATTAGGTTCCAAATTTTCTTGCTTCATCCTCTCTTTCAAACTAAAAGCTTTATCCAGTTTTCCCACCTTACAATATCCATTGATAATGGTATTGTAAGTAACCGAATTCGGAGACAAATTTGTATTGATCATTTCATCAAACATCTTCTGTGCATCGATCAGCTTCTTCTCTTTGCAAAGACTAGAAATTAGCACATTAGACACAAACACAGTAGGATTAATCCCTATCTTCTTCATGCAACACATCAAATCAAAGGCTCTGTTCGTCTCCCCTAGTTTTATTGACGCCTCAACTGCCTTACCATACATGAAACTATCTGGTCGAATACCAGATTCAACAAGTTCAGAAAAGAAGTCGAGCGTTTTTCTGAACTCTTTTGAAGACATCAAAAGTTTAAATAAAACACTGAGGGTAGCCACAGCAGGAACAACGCCATTTTCCTTCATTGAGGTACATAATCTTATGGCATCATCAAGCATTTTAAGATCCAAAAACGCCATTAACAACATATTTGAAAAGACATGCTTCAAGTTGGGAGAATGGACAGAAAAAAGTGCAATGAGATCACAAGGTGATGAGAAAGGAGATTTGGAAAGAATTATAGACTTAATGAGCCTCTTGGCAGCACCCGTGCGCTCCTGTTGAAGTAAAATTCTAAGCTTTTGAACCAACTCATGGCACAAAGGTTCTGGATGGTTAGGATGTTGGTTCCTGGTGGTGCTCGATGTTACTTCCTGATGACTAGTAACCTGTTCAATTTGATTGGGGTTGTTCTGGGTAGAATCAGAGCAAAACGGGTTCGAGGAAGGGATAAATGCAAGATATTGAGTTCTGAATCGTCTAATGACAGGAATTCTAGATAAATAATAGCCATGCCTTCCCATTGTCAGCTCAAACAGTTGGTTTAAAGATTTTGCAAAAGCGATAGTACCCATTTCTCAAATGGAAGCAAACACTTCTGAAACATAACCATAATCACATTTCTGCCAAAAAAAAAAAAAAAAAGAGGAGAAGAACGAACGCTTCAAATGCATATAAGTAGACTTTAACATACAAAAACCAAAATTTTTACCTCAAAATTCAAGAGATTTTCTATCCAACAAAAGAGGATAGGTCGGGGCATTGATACAGAAATAAACATTAGAATTTGAAGAAAATCAGTTCTTCCTCGACCCTTCTAGGGTTGCCAATCATAGGTCGAATCAGTCGAACCAAGCGGCTTAATCCCAGACCGATTCGAACCGCAGCGGTCTGTTTCTGTTGGGCATACCCCTTGGTTTTCCATTTTAAAGCTCTGTCAGAGTCTTCACTTTTATTCAGTAATCGTAGTGAATAATGGAAGAGACAATATAGTGTTACCGGGCTAGAAACTGGAGCGAGCCAGAGCGGCGGCGGCCGCGAACTCGCCTTCTGCTTCTTCCTCGGCAAAATCACCTCTCACCGCCTCCTCCTCCTCCTTATTCCTCAATCCTTTCCAGAACAACAACGCCACAGCCGACCACAACCTCGACTAAGACTCTTCAGCTGAAACAGAGGCGGCAGCAAACGTCTGTGAAAGAATTGAGAGGGAAACCCGAATGGATAGGGCATAAGGTGTGTTCAAAGGACCGGTAAAAAGAAAAATCTGATCGGACGGTTGGATTATTAGGTTGAGAAGGACAAATAAATCAATTTTGTATGAGCTGTTCAAATAAATGATTTTTTTTTTTTATAAGTTTTCTAGAATTAATTTGTGTAATTTAATAATTATGTTTTTATTATTTATTTTACAACAACTCTTAAATATTTAAATTCAAACGTTCAAGCATATGTTTAAAATTAAATTATAAATTTAATTGATTTTAAAAAATTACATAAATACATAATTTTATATATTAACATTCTACTTTTATTAAAAAAAAAATTGAATAAATTACCTAAACAAGAAAAGCAAATTCTCCCATTTGAGCCAACAAAATGCCACATCAGCCATCAAATGAAGACCATTGAATGAAAGAAAAAAAATGTTAAAAATGAGAAATAGAATTGGATTGAAAGTATGTTCTGATTGATATGGATAAATTTTGAATGGGATATAACTGACTGCTAATATCTAATTATAAAAACAATATAAATTAATTAAATATTGAAAATAAAATAAAATATATTATAAATTAAATTATTAAAAAATATATTAAAGTATAATATTTAATATATTTTCCATAAATAATATATTTTTGAAATATTATATGTAAACAAAACGGGAATAACATAAAGATATTCATAACTTGAATCTTTGAAAGATGCCATGGAGGGCGATATCAAAAGCATCCTTGATAGTTTCCAGGCCCTCGGGAGCACTCGCGTAAACTAATTTTGGTATCGTTTCAATCACTTTCTCTCTCATCTTCCTCACTCTCTCTCTACTAATTTTCTCGAGCACTCCTCTAATGGATGCCGACCCATTTCTCACCTCCTTCTGATCGATAAAAACAGAGTAACTCCCCGCCTCGTCCGGCAAGAACCACTCGTATTGCCCGTAAGCGGTTCTCTCCCAGAAAATAACCGGAATCGAACCGGCCAACATGCAATCAAACACCGATTTTCTCGAATACGAATCGCCTTTCGGCTGCAAACAGAAATCCGAGTCCAGAAACGTTTCCAGAACCGCCGAGTCCCCACTCGCGCAACGGTTCGCAGTGCACTTCACGGCTCGGCACCCACCGGCCGATTCGTTGATGCAGTAACTCAGTAAAAGCACTCTAAAGTCATTCTTTATTCCATGTCTTGTTCCGCCGGCGAAGCAGAAGAGATTTGTTCTGTTACGTTCACGAACGAAGCTTTGCCAATTTAACACGTGAGCGTCAGATCTAGGGTGGAATCCTGTGGGGAAAGGTACACCGATATCCAATGGATCGGACGGTTCTCTTTCCACGATCAACCTCGCCACGTTTTTCATCCCTGGCATGAACGCAAAACTGGACCCCCACTCGTTATTCCCCCACCGTTTAAAGTCCCAAGTCAGCCGTCCCAGCGTGATGAAATGATCTCCACCGTTCGATCTATTCCAATACGGCTGATCCTGGACCCACTTAATCAACTTCTCAGAATCCCGATCACGATCGGAAGTAGTGTGATTCTGCCATAGGAACCGTCCGATGGAGAGACCAGCATAAAACGGTATGTAGAAGGCCGTAGCTGATTCCGGCTCTAACGTTCTACACTTATGGTTAAGAATCCGATTATGTATAATCGGTTCCAACATGTACTGCTCCGACCAATACCACGTCGGAGCTAGACCACCGGGAACAACGCCAACGAGCTCCGTCGCAAGCCGGCCGAACCCACCGTTGGACACGTCATCACAGCGGGAGGTCCATGGGTCTAAGGCCTCGCAATTTTCCAATAGTTGTTTGTTGAAAATGGGAGGCAGGTCGTAAACGAACACTCTCCCGGAGCTGCATGGGTCTCCAGCAGCTGTGTTAGAGAGTTGGTCGCCTTCTCTAGCGGTGGCAGGGGAGAGTGGAACGAAGCAAGTGGTGGTGAAGATTAGGTAAATTTGCAAAAGGACGACGATTAAAACGAGGATCCATGTGGGATAATATCGTCGGGAGGAATTGGAAAAGGCCTTTGTATCCTTAAAATCCATGCCAATACTTGTAAAGCTAAGTAAGGGGGAAGGACGTAGAGGACATTGGAGAATGAAATCCTTCTTAAATATCATTTCAGCCGCCGTTTATGCCCACAAGATCGGCCGCCAGCCGTTAATTACAGTTGACATTGACGAAATGTTAGTATGAACTCAAATTCATGCAGGGAGTATAATAGAAAGTGGTAGACGATTTTTGAGGAAAACAAAGAGGATCTTAAGGATCTTGTTTAGCAAGATTAGCTGTATTAGTAACCCATATTTACCGGTGCCATAATCCCAATCCATATGCCCTTTTTTTCACCCAAAATTCAAACCCACTCAAGTTCTGCACTTTCTTCAAAATCAATATACACCTAAAGTCATTACAATTTCTTTCCATCCACGAAAACCACTTTTTTTTTTTTTTTAATATATATATATATATATATTTCTTATGTTCTGATACTTGAAGTTGGACGTCACAAAGTGCTTTTTGTTCCATGTTTTCTATAATTTTGAAGAAAAAAAGAATCATAGTACTGGTAACTTAAATACAATAATTTACTATTCATTTACGAATACGAGCATAACTTAATTAAATACTAATTTACTTTATACTACTACTTATTTTTTAAAAAATACAATTATTTTAAAACTATACTTACTGTTTCATTGACTACTAATTTAATTATTGTTTTAGTTTTTTATTTATTTATTTGATGGTAGGTGATGTTACGTTATAAGGTTGACCTTTAAATCGATTAAGAGTTTGCTTAAGGACGTACACATGGCCTTTTGGGGATTGCTTGTTCTAAATTTTTTTGGGAACTTGGATTACTATGATAATCTTTTTATTATTATTATTATTTACATTGGTTTTGTATGTGATTGATATTATAGAAAACTTTATAAGAAAATTATTTGGATGCACCCATGTGGTAACCTTTTTTATATATATATTTGGATGCACTTAGTTTCACTATTTTTTAAAGAAATTTTAAATTATATCCATTTATAAACTAAAATTATTATAATTTAAACAGAGTAAAAGAACAAAGATCCAATTGGGTTCTGACACGTCTGAAAATTCCGTAATTCTATCCAATCCCTACATTCTACTACCACTTGTTTAAATAATTAAATACTTTTGAATAAAAATGAATTTAAAAATAACTAACTCGAAAAATGGGGCTCTCTTCAAGTACCGAAGCCTCGTAACTGTAATGTCTAAACTTTTAATGGGCCTCTTAAGATGGGTTTCCATTTGGGCCTCCAACTACTTGGGCTCCGCATTATACGACCGACTTCCAGTTCTGGCCCGTTAATCTTTTTTAATAACATTTATTTATTTATTTATTGTGTGTTATTTCAAGAGCTGCATTAAATTACCGTGTCATTATTAAATTAATGGTTATTAACTCACCATAAATTTTCCCTCCAATAAAATCGTAGGTTGTAGTTTACTTTTTTTTTTTTTTTTTTTCATTTATCATTTAATATGTCATTAAATAATATATTATTTTATTTCATTCTTTAAATAAATAAATAAATACACGGGTAAAACGTGGACGCAGTTAACGAGGGGTGGCGATGGTACGTGTGGCTTCTGCTTGTGCCACGTGATTCTCGAGTTCTACCTAAATGGCGCCACTTTCAATTTTTACGAATTTACGATTTAGTCCTCCGTGGCGTCACTTCCATCGTCCAACACTTTAGGCTTAGTTTGGAATTCTTATTTAACTTGTTCAATAATATTTGTAAAATTTAATTCAATTTAAAAAATGCATATTGTGGCGTATTGATAAATTAATATTAAGATGAAATAGATGTATTATTTTATTATAATATTAATTATTGAAATTTTAATTTGTTATAAGATAATTATTTAAAAATTTTATATGCTTTAAATTTGATAATAATCTCCCTCTCTTTTTGTCGTCGTCTTCACTGTAAAAATAATAACCACCACAATCCGCAACTACCCTTTCTATTTCCCATTATTTTCAAAGGTAAATATTCGAATATTTTTATGAATAAAGAACAATTTTTATTCCCCGCTTGCGTTGTTTCATTTTCTTAGTGTTAGCATGCAAGTTTTAATATAGTATTATTATTTATTTACTTATCCTTAATATACAAGTTATCTATTATTTACCACAAATTTTAAATTTACCACAAACTAATGTTCAACAAATTAGAATTAAATTACCCACTTAACAAATTCACACTTACACTTGATGGGACACTGAAACTTAAGAAATAAACTTAGGTATGAATACTTATTTTGATTTAATCTCTATATTTTTAAATATTTAAACATAAATTCTATATTTTCAATCAATTTTAAAATTAATTCATACTAGATAATTTAAGGTATGTCGAAGGTGGCACGATATCCATTCAATTTAATTTTTTTTTAAAATATAAATAATGTAATTTAAATAAAATAAAACAATTTTAAAACTAATTCAATGAATTTAAATGTATATTATTTTAGATATCACATTTATTGAAGTATTGGTACAATAGAATTTATCTTTATGGGGTGGTCGAGGATGTACAATAGCATAAGGTGTTATTTATTCACCCATTAATATTAATTTATAAAATTTAGGATATTTGATATAATTTAGTCAAATATTTTTATTTTTATTTTTATTTTTATTTTTTCAGAATCTGCAACCTTTTCGGGAACGTTTCCACCAAGAGGCTGAAGGATGGGCTCGACCTGTAACGCCATGACCTTTATAAAGACCGACACATCATCAATTTCCCATCTTCTGTTTTCGTGTGCGACGTTTTAGAGAAAAATGGAGAGGTCCTCGTCGCCTCCTCTGTTGTTGCTACTGCTGCTCTCTTCCCTCGCCGTCGTCTGCTCCGCTGTCGAGCCGCCTCAGATCACCGTGAAGCCCGACATTGCTCCCCAGTCCCTCCCGATCAACTACATCCAGGTCCGTGTTTCAACCCTCTTTACTCTCAACCGTCGCTTTTGTATTTTTCCTTTAACTTTTGCGTAATATACTTCTCTTTTTCTTTCGTGTTGCGAAGGAAGTTGGAAGCTGTTCTTACGAGGTTACAGTAGCAACAAGCTGTTCATCTCCTTCATTTATCACTGACGAAATCGGTGTGTTGTTTGGAGATTCTCATGGAAATCAGGTGTTCTTTCTTTTCTGTCATTTTCCTTTTTAAAATTATTAACTCTAGGGTTTTTACTTTTATTTACCTATTTCTGAAATTAATTTCCCTGATTCCGAACAGGAGTATGGATTTTGTTTCTAATCTTACGCCAGGATGATTCTGGCCTGAATAATAGACTTTATTATTATTATGTTTTTGTTAATCAAGCACTTAATATATGATCTGATCCACGGATTTCTGTTTTGTTTTGATTGAATGTTTCACATGTGTAACAAATAGATTGTGGAGAAGAAGTTGAGCAATGGAGACAAGGTGTTTGATAGTTGTAATACAGATAGGTTTGTTCTAAATGATCGACCCTGCAGTGTCCAAATTAGTTACATGTATATCTATAAAGACGGAGCTGACGATTGGCTTCCGAACTCTGTTGAAATCTCTGGCTCTGGAATCAAACCCCTTCTGTTCATCTTAAAATCCTCCATCCCAAGAAACAATTGGTTTGGCTTTGATTTACGACAATATCCTTTTCCATCGCCACCGTCCTACAACCCGTCCCCTCCTTTTCCATCGTTGTCTCCTCCTCCTCCTCCTCCTCCTCCTCCTCCTCCTCACCATCCTCTGCCACCGCCGCCGGAGCCAATTCTTCCTCCTCCGCCTCCACCTAAGCCTGTTCTTCCCCCACCGCCTCCTCCACCATCATCCTCCAGCAAAATCTCTGGTCTGAAATTGGCTAAGGTATCTGTGGTTTTGGGATTGCTGTTTGCCCTTCTGTGATTCTGCAGTAGCTGCTTGCTTTATGTAGTAGTTTAGTAGGTAAATTTTGTAGTGGTGGGTGGGTGATGTTAATGTTCAAGTTTCATCCCCCATTCCACCATCTTGTCGTACCGTAAGCTTTCAAAGCTTTAGTTAAACTTTATCTTTTCAGCTGTATGGCTATAAGCCTGGTGCAATTCTACAGCCACTGCTTGTTCTAAGTGGGTGGTGGGCGATACTATACTTACGTTTCATCCCCTTTTCCACCCATGTTTTAAGGTCTAGACAAGCAAGCTTTACTGAACCTCTTTATGTTATCGTCTTTTCAGTTGTATGAGATATATGCCTTCTCTATGAAAGTCGGCCCAGCCTTCTATGTCGAAGGTTGTATGGTGTTTTATTTTTCAACAATGTGGGATGGAGTGGATGTGTTGAATTTTGATTTTGAGTATTTTTTGTATTTATTTCAACCATAATTATTATAAATAAAATAACATTAGTTAAAACCTTATTAATTTTGAGAATTATACCAAAAGTACTTAATAATCTGACATTTGAACTTTGTATTTAATATCAAAATGGCTATTATACCATCTTAATTCGATTATTTGTCCAGATATTTCTAAAATTACACAAAGGTTTTTCCCTCTGAAATTAATAAATTGATTCATTTTTAAAAAATCACATGAAAATTTTATTTACATTTTAATTTCTTTTTTTATTTTCTCAAAGCCAACATGAATAAAAGCACCCTCTAGAGGAGGAGGATAGAAATATCTAGTGATAGTTTCGTATTTTTTCAATAGGTCACTTTCGGAGTTACAATCAAACACATGAAGTCTAACAAGTAAATCAATCCGGTCTCCATTAATATATCTCATCTCAAGTTCATTTCATTTCTGTTAATAAAAAATATAAAAAATAATATTGAAACTAAATATTCTTTAAAATTTTAGTTTTAAAATAGATTGATGTTAATTTAAAAAGGTGTAATTTTTGTTGGCATTAGTAAGAAAAGGAAAATAGTTTGTTGGTTACAAAAGATTGAGGATTACTTGCATTTTGAGTTTGGTATAAATATTTTATTTATTTATTTGCTTTTTTTTTTTTTCCCGACTTCCCGGCAGTGAAAACCTACTACTCCATCACCGATTGACGACCATATATTTGATTGGAGCCAAGACTCTGGTTCTGCACCTCTTCAACCAAGCTTCTTGTACTCTCGTTTCAGTGGAGCAAAACGAAGGTCTGTAAAAATGGTGATGCCTCCTCTTTCTTTCTTCATCTTTTTCTTCTTCTCCATTTCTGCCGCCGTATCATCCGGTTCTCTGCCTCAACCTGCTCCAAAATCCTTAACCATCGGCTATATTCAGGTTCCGTCTATCATTTTACCTGTACTTTCGTTACTCAATCGATGTGCTTATCTGAGGTTCTCTGTGAATCAAACTGACTCTGTTATCTTCTTCTTTGGTACTTTCGGCTGAAGAAAGCGGGAGATTGCAACTACAGGGTCAATATAACAACAAGCTGCTCATCCCCTTTCCATATTACTGCTGAAATCGGTGTTCTGTTTGGGGATGCGCATGGAAATCAGGTTCGTTCTTCGGGCATTTTAATTTAAATTATTTTGCAATTAGTTCATCTGCTGAATATTGTTAGACTCAGAGAAGAAAATTGAAAGCATATTGGTTAACATTTAAGCATCCAAGGCCAAACAGAAGTCTATTCCTGATTTTTCATTGAATATGGCTGTTTTCCTGCTGTGCTCTATATTATAGTCAAATTTTTTATATTGGAGTTTTGAATTGCAAGAAAAAAAAAAAAAAAAAAAAAAAAAAAAAAAAAAAAAAA